CTTTTTATTGCTGACCCACCATCCTTCCTACCTCCATGAAACACATTCCTGTCTACCAATACCCTCCCCTCAGAAAACACATGACTCAAGCTGAGCATGATGATTACTCAGGAGACTAAGGCAGGAAAAGAACCTGAGCCCAGGAGTTCAAGGACAGCCCCGGTCACAAAGTTATATAACTTTACCTTTTTCAGAATTGTGGCTCTCAGAACCAAACATGGTTCTCTATGTGTTCTTTTTTTCCAAGATACACCTGGTTGGCATGAACCCTTGGCAGCAGAACTGAGGTGTGATCATACAGAGGACAATCTAAAGCTATAAGCCCACAGACTGAAGAGATGGCTCAGCAGTTAAAAACACTTGCAGTTCTTCCAGAGGACCTGAGTTTGATTCCCAGCACCCACCACCATCTGTAACTCCAGTTCCAGGGGATCCAACATCCTCTTCTGGTCTCTGTAGACACTGAACACATGTGGTGCACTTACATACATGCAGGCAAAACACTCATACACATAAAATAATAAATAAATAAATAAATAAATTAATTAATTAATTAATTAACCAGGGGATCCGATGCCCTCTTCTGACCTCCTCTGGCATTGCACAGCATATAGTGGCTCACAACTGTTCATAACTCCAGTTCCAGGGGATCCAATGCCTTCTGACCTCCACAAGCACTGCACAACTTGCGCACACTTGCAGGCAATACAAAAATAATAAAAAAAATAAAATATTTTAAAAAATTTTAAAAGCTATAAACCCACAGGGCTACCTCTCTTCCACCAAAGATATCACAAAGATACTGAGGGAGGATGTCCTTGTGCAAATCTGGTAACCTTATGAAGACCTTAAGTCCTCAGCACCCACATTTAAAAAGGAAAAGCCACCACCGATCAGTTAGCTCAGTTGGTTAGAGCATGGTGCTGATAAAAAGGAAAAGCCAAGCATAGCAGCACATACCTATAACCCTCATGCTGGGGAGATGGAGATAGGAATCCCTAGCATAATAATGTGATTTTTCTCATTTAGGTTTCCAACAATGCACAAATATTTCCTTGTTTCTTGGCTAAGAAAAGTACTGCAATATACTTTTCCTCTAACTGAAATTATTACAGGTTGTCTAAAGGGTACTATAGGGGAGTGGAGCTGGTACATGTGGGGCCTTGCACATGCTAGGCAGTGACATTACTAAGCTAGATCCTCAGTCCTGAATATTTCTTAATTATAGAGAGGAACAGGGAGAGAATTTGGGCTCTACAAGAGAAGATTATATAATCAAATGTTTGAGTAATCATAAACTGACACGTTACTGGCCCAGTAAATTGTTGATTTAACATTTTTCAATTTTGTATTTGAATGTTTCTTATCACAGTTATGTTATGTGGATAGTTTATTTTGGAAGATATAGTTTCTATATTTAAGAGTAAGAAGGAAAATGTAACCAAAATTAGTATTCTTTTTCCTTAAATACTGGTACTTGAAGATTCCTTTAAAATAAAACCCAGCCTTTTTAGTACTTCTCATTTTAACTGAAATGATCCTTCTAATTCAAAAGCTATGTGATTTCTGAGTATCATACATGGGAATTAAGCTAATGTTAAAAACAGTTTTCAGTAAAAGAGTCAGCTTAAATCATTTAATCATTTCAAATGCTTTCTTCATCCTTTAAAAATAAGTTTGAAGGTCTAAAAGAATTGCATTTTCACTGCTTTGCATATCTTTGTCATGCTATATAAATTCTCTTTTCATATGATTAAAGGAAGCTTAAGATGAAATGATTAGTTGATTTACATTCACTTGTAGCAATTACAGAAGAATTTGATTTTTGTTTGGTTTGGGTTTGCTTATTTCTATGATGATGGTGAAGTTAGGTAAGGGTTTTCTGTTACAGTATCCAACATCATCACTTGGAAGATTTCAGTTGTTCAATAAATTGTTCCCTCAAAAAAGAGGGGAAGAAAAGAAAAGAGAAAAAAAAAAAGGAAAGGAAAAAACAGACATTTATATACACACGTACATGCTCAAGTTTACAAGTTTATTTTAAATATTCAGGATGGAGAACTAGAAGTCAATAAAACTGGTTACCTAAGAATGGGTTAGAGAACAGGCTAGAAAGGAAGGGAGTGACACATCTCTCTGAGAATACCACTGGAAGCACGTTCACATCATACATAGTCAAGCATGTAACCAAACTAACAGGAATGGGACAAAGGCACTTAAACCAATGCAAACACAAACAAGCAAGGCCAACTGCAGTTCAAATAAATCACATAACTATATATGACAAGGGAAATACTGCACATAAATATTAACTTGTCTTTAGCAGTTCTGTTTACAGGTCTGCAGTAATTCTGAAACTATTGTAGGTATATATAATTAAGTAGATGAGTAGATTCACTGATGCTAAGAATCAGGGCTCTCACTTTGACAAAGAAAATACAAGTATGAAATGGGGGATGACAAGGAAGAATTCTATGGTTTGGATTGGAACTGAAGGTATTAGTATAATTCATGTTCTAAAAGAAAATCCATTTAAGTGTGTGAACGTGTGCATGAGCACATGCATTTCCCCAGGTGGGTGGTACATGCCTGTTATTCCAATACTCAGGAGAAGGATGCATAAAGACCCTGAGATCAAGGCCAGTTGAGGCTATATAGAGAGAGACCATCTTAAAAATTCAAAGGACACATATATAAAAGATGCATTAAATCTATTAAAGTAAAATCTACTCACCTAATTTTAAATGAAAATTCCTAAGGGTAAAGAAATCACAGAAACAGGGGGCAGTTAGAAGGTTCAATAGGTAAAAACACTTGCTGTGCAAGCCTGACTACCTGAGTTCAATCCTGGAACCCAAGGGGAGAATCAACTCAACGAAGTTGTTTTCTGACCCCCCACTTGCATGCCATAGCACATACACACACATGTACACACACACTTAAAATGAGATTCTGCAAGAAGGAGAGGAAACATAGGTTTCTTTATTTTTAAGGCAGGGTCTGATTATATAGCCCCAGCTGGTCTAGAACTTGCTTTGTCAACCATCACAGGCTGGCCTGGATCTTACAGCAATTTGCCTGCTTCTGCCTCCTGAGTGCTGGGATGAGAGGTCTGCACCACCACGCCCAACAGAAACAGAATTTAAACTTAAAAACCTAAATGCACTAGTATTTACAGAGAAACACAAACAAAATACAAAGTAGATTTTAACAAATGCTTATTTATTTATTATGTATGTATGTATGTATGTATGTATGTATGTATGTGTACACAGCATGCATGTAGAAGTCAGGACAACTTGAGGGAGTTTGTTCTCTCCTTCCATAAGAGATAATACGGTTTCTAAAACTAGAACTCTGGTCATCAGGCTGGTAGAAAGCACCTTTACCCACCAAATCATCTCACAGTTGTAAATTTTTTAAATAAATAATTTAAAAGAGAATTATGAAAGTTCATTTTGGAGGCACAGTATCTCATATTCCTTTTATAAACTTCCAGTTGATTTTGGAGGCACAGTATCTCATATTCCTTTTATAAACTTCCAGTTGATAGATGTTTTAGTTAACTTCTTTATTCTGATAGTCTTATGTCCTAAACTACTTAAGTCATTTGAAATGATAAATAGGGGTCAGGAAACACTTTTCAATGATGAGAATAAAAATATTGTTCACTTATTTCTGACAAATGCATAACTTCAATTTTCTAATTAAGTTATATCCCACTGCAGCCAGGCGTGGTGAGGCATGCCTGTAATCCCAGCACTCGGGAGGCAGAGGCAGGCAGATCTCTGTGAGTTTGAGGCTACCCTGGTCTACAAAGTGAGTTCCAGGACAGCTGGGGCTACAGGGAGACCCTGTCTCAAAAAGACAAAAAACAAACAAACAAACAAAACAACAACAACAACAACAAAAACCCAACAACAAGTTATAGCCCACCTTTTAAAAATTAATCTATACACTTTAGGAGTATTTTTTAATAGTCTAGGGTTTCTCGGTTTCCTTTACTTGTTAAAAGAAAAACCTTTCCAACTCTAAAATTTCTGTCAAAATGAAGCTTCCAGGTACAGGGAGAGAGTAATCAGAATGCATTATTTAATTATGAAATTATCAAAAACAAAATTAATAAAAAAATGGCCCCTTGCTACTGTTTTCCTTTTGTGGCAGCAGATCAAAAGTCCATTAATAGTTAACAAAGCTACAGTTTGATCTATGAATGAAGACTTGATTTTCAAAGTACTTAGACTATATTTACAAAAGAATCTCTACCATTAATTATTCAGCATTTGGATTTGACCAGAAACCAGAGCATGACTTTTAATGCCCTGTTTAAATGAACTACTTAACATTGTAATGAACACTTGATATAGTGAACTCAGTGGATTTTAGGCTTGTTATAATAATATGGCTTTTCCCAAATTTTTTGATCAGTGGACAGATTTTAATGCTAACTCAGTTTAAAATTCATTTGTTCTTTAAAGATGTTTGCTTAAACCAAAAATTGTGCATTTTAATTATTTTCTATTCTAAAATTGAATGTATTTTATACCAATGCATTATTCATAATGCAAAGACATCAGGAAAAACAAAGCTGTGCATTTCTTTCAAAGCTGTTAAATTGCTAAAGCATACCACATTCATGCATGCAATATTTGATCGTGTTTTTCTTAAAACACAGGCTTGTTTTCTTCAGATCAAGATAGGCCAAAAATTCTACACCAAACAATTTTTGCTTATAATTAAAGCAATCATCAATCCAAAGATTGTCATTCATTTTATTTCATCTCTACATCAAAAAAAAAGGTAATTTAAAAAATTTTAAATTCCCTTGAAATGATAAGATAAATGAAACTCTAAGTGCCTTCACATAATAACAATAAGCTGACCCTCTGGGAAATGGTTGACTTTCTCAATACAAGGTATTCAAAGCTCATTCAAAAGTGTTCATTTAGAATGCAGATATCAAAGATGATGCAAATGTTCAAGAGAAAATTAGAACTTACCAGATGTTCTAATCCAGCTTTGATGTTTCCAGATTCCCTAAAAATAGAATAGTAAAAGTTCTAAATAGTTGCTAAACCCTTGTCTGCTCTAATTTATGTTTATCTCAAAATGTTTTATAAACCGCTATCCATTTATCATTAATCTTTAGTAATGTTTATAATAGTTCTTAAAAGAAAATTTTCCATAAAAAGAATAATTTTT